ATGTAGAGCGGTTTCAACAACAGTGTCTGCGACGGATTCTACGCATTATCTGGTGCGACAGAGTTGCAGACACGGAAGTGCTGCGTTGCAGTGACATGTATGCAGTGGACTGCATACTTCTGCTGCAGCACCTGAGGTGGCTGTGAGATATCTGGATTCGACGCGGTATGCAAGCAGCTCTTATATTGGCAACCTAGCGTAAGGAAGCGACCTTTTGAAAAACCGAAGTTACGTTACCAGTACATGAGTTTAACACGAACAAAGTTTAATTTCAGATGCTTGGAATCAAAGGTATTTGATCATCGCGAATGGCGTAAGCTGATCAAGAGGGCCGTTGCCCACTTGAAACAGAAAGCCCAGTTACCTACGGAGGAGATAAAGGTGTACGGAAGCGACAGGCGCCAATGGAGTCTACCCCACTGACGGCAAGCACATGGTGCTGTAGCACATGCGGTCGAGGGTTCCTGAGCTAAGCGTATCTGGAAAGCTACCAGCCTTATCACGTGGGGCCAGCATCCAAAAGATGACGTGTCAGATGATTATGGAAGCATAATCACCGCAGCGATTGGTAGGTGTGCTGCGTCCGCATCTGAGCAGGCGGCTGATATGGTACGGATGCCGCATCCTCCTTACAGTTGATCTGTGTGTCTGCGTGTTGGGTTTCTTGAATTTCAGGTATTGGTTGTCGATTGATATCCCCGATGTGGCTTCGCTCGATGTGAATGTTGACAAGGCGCCTACCTGTCTATCACCCACTACCTCGTCTATACTGGCTGCGGGAGATAGCTTGTCGTTGCAGGAGGGGACGGGGTGCACGGTCCTCGTGACGGTACTAGGCTCAAAGAGTAGTTCAATGCATCCAGTGTGGAATGGGCTAAGGCCCAGCCACCGCCTTGTGTACGTCTGGTACGCATGATTCCCAAATTAGATAGACAAGAATGTTGTTGCTGTGCATGTTGTAGGAGTGTCGGCTACCCTGATGAAAGGTGGATCTCATCTACATGCCTGCCGGTATTATACATTCAGGTTTACACTGAATATGGGGTGTGTAGATGGAGCTGTGGGTGGTGCAGTGCAAACCACGCATGGTCCCCGTGTAGGCGCAGGTGTCCTTTGGCTATATTATGGAGGCCTGAGTGACAGGCAAAGCCGGAATCGGATGCCGCCAACCATGCCCGGACAATACTGATGGGTTGCGAAAATGTCGGTCCCCCTTTACTTGTTTGTCTGTCTGCTGGACAAACATTCGGGGACAATGTTTTCGGAGGGTAGAGTAGTAGCACCAACGCCATTAGTGCTGTTGGGGATTGTGCGATCGTAACTAAAGCGAGTAACTATTACAATCCCTGCATCTTCCGACTGCATGCAGGACAAACGTACTGTCTGCACAGTTTTCTCTAGAGAGCGAGTTTTGCGCTCAATTGTGCAGTGGACAGCTGGATTGTACAAACCAGTTCGAATGTGCCTCACATGCAGGAGTTGTAAACTAAGACGAAACCCATACTTTACAAATTGTGGCCCGTTGCCAGCCCAAAGTTCTTCGGAGAGTTCAAAGCTAACAAAAATTGCTCCATCCAGTGCCTACCGGTTGAAGTGCCCACATTGATATAAAGGTGCATCTCAGGCCATTTGCCGTACAATTACGCGGATCTGGAATTCAGAAACAACTTGCGATTGCACTGCACTGTCGAGCAATTTAGATTAAGTCAGAACCAAGAGTAGCCATGGTGAACAGCTTTATCAAACTCGTTGTGTTTAACATCGAAAGCACAACCACACATGCTACTGATACTGCATCTGTGATACTGATCGTGTGGAACAAGCCTACAATTTGAAACTAGATGAAGGTGGCTACGGCCGATATGCAGGCACAACATTCAACTGCACACTCGGAAGTTTCCCATAAACGTTAACAACCATGTACCTTCCCGTGCTTTCAAGCAATCGCGGACGCAGTTGTCCTGGTAATGAATGGTACCACGTGTCCATAGGTCTCGCCTAATTCTAAATTTCGGATCTGCTTTTTCCTACATTCGCAGGAGCTGTAACGTGTACAGCATGCATATGCGCGAGGGATCATCCTTCTACACCTTTCAAACATACTTTAATTGGCGTGTCGTTGATTATGATGATGACGATGGCGTAGGCTGGGCAACGCTCTCGATACTCAAAAAATCAGAAGATTATAACCTTTGAATAATTTGTAGCGTTACAAGATGGACATTTTAATACAAAAATGAGCTATGCGAGCGATAGACTACCCACTTTATCATCGTCTTCTAACATTTGTAAGGTCTGTGGCCAGAGGCGAAATTTCAAAGTAGCCCAAAGCTGTATGAAAGCTCTTTTGCAACCACAAACAGTGCTTCATAGTTTCTGCGGTAATGATACTATGAGGTCTTTCAGTTTCTGCTCTCTGATAATTGATATAAAAGAAAGGTAACGGTCCACATATTTTGTTAAGTCGACAATTCTCTCAGACATTCAGAATCGTAAGATGTGCTAGTAATGTTGTGAATGTCATGCGTTCTTTCGAGATTTTGGTGAGATTCTCTAACTGACCCCCTAGCTGAGTAAGACTTCCAAGAGAGTTGTGCTGAGTGATCAATACTCTTACCCATGTCCAATCCCTAGTGTTGTCATCTACAGAAGCGTGTTATGCCCTTATTTCTTTCTGCTCTAAAACAACAATATTAGCATATCCATTAAACATGGTGGACCATTTCTATTTGCCGACAGCATTAGCATTCGATGAAGTGAACTACAATGCATAAAGTTGTAACTCCAGGAAAGCGTCAAATCGTTTGTGAAATGGTGTAACACTTGGCTGATGAAGTTCTCAGCTAACAAATCGATCACCATATCCTACAGATGTACTGTGAAGAGCTAATTAAACTCAGTAATGAACGCATCTGTGTAAAACTGTCCAATTATGATGTAAGAATATGATACTCTTCGAATTTCAGTTTCACAGAGCAGGACAAATATCAAATAGCCTGGGCCAGGCTAACATACACCGCAAAATCCATTCAGTCGCTGCCTAAATTGAACTTTTACAGATCTTAATCCCACGCATCTATGAGTACCGGAGAGAAGCCCATAAAAATTGCTGGTTAGTAAAGTGTCCACTTTGAGCTACCAGGAACATTGTTCATAGTTTCAGGACGAGCCTCTGGTTGCGAAGACAAACACAAGTTCTTGCTCATGTGCAGTCTGATAAGGCAGAAGATATGGTCCGGTCTGTGCGCAACATGATATCACAGCCAAAAATCATCACGACGGAGTGCGCGCCACGAAGAAGTATATTATAATCGTTAATTCAAACAACCTGTACAAATATGTCATGATAAAATTGATGATAGGAAAGACAAAATGTGAAAGATTAATAACCACTACAAGTTCACGTAAAAATGACAAGTTCGTATTTAGCTAAAGATCACGAAGTGACCAAACTTGTGGCTTATACCCACCACTGCCCAGAACATTTTTTAGTTTATGAACTACTGGATGGCAGCTTCAGGTGTCGCATATCTGCACCTTTGCTCGCATAAAATAATCTTTGCACACCACCGCTTCTTCCAATGAATGTTGCAGGCGATGATACATCGTGACGCTGTCATTGATCAGGCATATTTGGACCATTTCCTATCGTATGCATTCAACAGTTTGGGCATTAAAACACCAAAAGCTAACAGGTGCACACTTGCCGCTCTAGAAATTCAGAACGAATGTCAACTGCGGGTCAAATCCCGCAGATTCAGCACCGAAGCACAGGGTGCGCTTCGTGTATCGTCGAAATTTTGAGCTAATCAATGGTTGTAGAGTCAACCCTGTCTAAGGTGACCACTCAAGCGATCGATAAAAAGTGGTTGCCATGGAATGGTTAATGCATAGGGACATTACTCATAGGAGAAAACTTTGGGGATCTTTTCGGCTGGTCACCATAGCAGGTTGGACTGTATTATAAAGTTTTCGCGGCTGGTCTGACATACTCTGAAAATACTACTTCTGCACAGATTACAGTGCCGTGTTCTAACCCAGCTTTTCACTTAGGGTCATAGCTCATGTTTCCACCAGAGACAAACTTTCAACGTCACCCTATCCACTACTTGGTAATACGTTTTAAAGGCAACTGAAAGGAACTACTGTGGAAAATGGACTTGTTTGAGACCAATTTCACATAAATAAGCTTAGATCTATCACAATTATGAGAACAGATGGCACATTGAGTAGACATAGCTGGTAGTGCGCAGTGCACTACCCGGATGCGTATGTACTTCCTCTACCAGACAAGAGCGCAGGACAATCATGGTTTCAAAAACTAGAACTGGGCAAACAATAGAGATTGGTGCAAGCTCTGATCTTGTATAGACCGTAAAAGTGCAATACATGCCTCCGCGGGCTTGCAGTTTGTCGGTCATTCTCCACATAAGCACATTGCTGCTCGACCTGAAGAGTGTTACCCAAGAACTACATACTTTTAAACAGCTAGGGTGAGTACAGAAAAAATTTGTTTTGCTGTGAATCTATAGATATTGTGTGTATTGCCACGATTGTTATCATTTCAACGGCATGCATAGTACAGATAAAAATCTACCCTGACAATGTGTTGTTGTTAAGCAGCAGGGGAGTTATTTGGCAGGTGTCAGCTTCGAAAGGTAACGACAGGTGAGTGATTTTAACATACGCATACTATGTTACTGATTGCGTAGTACCTTGTGTGGATACTGCGATGCCCGAAGTGTTATGACAAGTGTATGAGTGGGTCGCATTTAAAAGTTATGTTATGACGGCTTGTAGTCGGTCACCCGAAGCTCATATTCATGATGGTCTTAACGTGTTATACAACAAAAGTTGATTGATAACAAGGATTCAGTAAAACGAACGGGTGGATTCCCCGATGCGCTTATATGTAGGCTAAATAATTATGCTGCATTCGAAGTATAAGTGGAAGAAAGTAAACCAATCAAGAAGCCGACCAATTCACCGAAATTGGATACCTGCACGATTACCGACATATCGCGAATGCGAATCGAAAGAGGGTTTCCAACCAGCTTGTGTAAGCGCTTGCTTGGCAGCACAAATGGCTAGGGCACTACCACGAGATAAGGTGCGCCAATCGACACTGCACTGATGCTCGTCAAGGTAGGATTTCGTCTCTTCCATTAAGGCATTAAGCTGATCTTCGGATATAGACCCACAAACTCTGGAGGGGAGAAACGCAAAATCGTCTGAAAGAAAGATACAACGAAAAGTGGCGGTGGGATCACCTACCTGGAGTAGAAGAAATTCCGCTGACTCCTTCCAATAAATTTTTCCAAAATCGTTCCACTGAAAGACCGATAGGGGAGCAGACACCGAGACCAGTGACGACCACTCTTCGAGCTGCCGACATGAATGAGCTGCATTTAGAGGAAGGAGTGAAAGTTTTACCAGCAGAAAAATATTTGTAACGTGGCCCTGTAGATGAAGTAGTTTAAGTTCAACATACAATTTTTGGTAACTTTAGAAGGAAGTTTGCATATTTGACATTTTATATATGGAGAGTGATGGAGGCATTCCATACCTATAATGTTCACTTCTAAGGATGGTGAAGAAGAGTGATACTACGCTTTTATCCAGGTTAATGGGTTGGGACAATGCAGTTCTGTTGAACAACTATGGTGCGGGCACCGTAGTGCAGTGACTCTAGTTACAACGACTCACGTCGCCAGAATAACAATAAAGGACAATGGTGATAAAATGAGGTAGAACACAAATAGAATAAAAGGAAAATGGATTCAGAAAGAAAGTGCGCATGACTAATCGGGATTGAAAACCAACAGGTTGAAGCGAGAAACCGAATGCAGGACCGCGACTGACTGCGCCATGTCTGACTTCTCCAATAATTGGTATGGATCAACCCAAAACCCCGATCCACGAAGACAGCATGCATCAGCCAGACCAAGTTCTTTTAGTAAGCTTCGTCATACCCTTATGTCATGTCATAGGTTGGCTACATCGTTTTCGAGCAATGCCTCTTAAGAAGCGTCACCAGTATGCTATCAGTATTGGGTAGTTGACTGGATAACAGCCATAGTTAATTCCGTACACATGAATTTTGTCAGAGAAGTCACAAAAATTTAAATAGTGTGCTTTACCTTTGTTAGAAGCCGAATAGTGGGTGTCTTAATTCAGAGCGTCTACTTACTGGTTGGCGGCATCCGGTTCCGGATTTGCTTGTCACTGTGGCCAGCCATAGGGCGCCTGCGCCTACAGAGGGACCATGGGTGGCTTGCGCTGCACCACCCATAGTTCTATCCACTCCATATCCAGTGTAAACCCGAAGGAATATGACCAGGAGACATGTGGATGGGAACCACGTTTCAGCAACGGAGCCGGCCTATACTCCTTCACACGCAAACTCAAGCATGCTGTATTTGGGAACCAATCGCACATAAGGCGGTGGCTGGATCGTAGTCCGCTCCACACTGAGTGCATGGAACCACTCTTCGAGCCTAACACGGCCACAAGGACCGTGCACCCCAACCCTTCCAGCAACGACCAACTGTCTCCTTGTTATAATCTTCTCACTAGAGGCAACTCCAAAATATAACAATTCACTGCTCCGCAAAACTTCTAGCCCAACCTAAGGAAAAAAGCAGAACGCCAATGACCCTGACAAATAACGTATTAATCGCAGCCAACGAACACTGTACAACGACTGAGGACCCTGGCTGTATTTATAGGTCTCTGCTGACCTTCGACTTCTAGAATTGGAAGGTCAGCTGCCAAGGTTAGTGGTTCCCCATATCTTTTCCCGAGAGGTCAGGTGGAGTTTGATCACGTGTAGAAGAAGAACATTCAGGAACCTACGAAATCGATGCGATAATCGTTAATAATCGATTAATCGCTAAAATAGGGAATTTCCAAGGCAATTCTTACTTTCTCCCGGACACCTCCCCTCCTGAGATATGTTCCGAGTTGTAAGAGGAAAGCCTGGGATTAACTTGCAGTCTTCGGGACGGTGTTCTCTGCCTGTCGGTCCACCTCCTTGGCAGAAGCGCCCGAGAACTTTGTTCCGATGTTCTTGTTCTGACTTCGTTGCTCGGCCTTGTGCAGTCGTCCAATGTTACCCTCGGCAGGTTGAAAGTTTCCACCAGTAAATCGAACGGGAGGTCAGTAGGCGTTTCTTGTTCTGGCTGACACAATGTGGGACGTAACTGGTTTGCATGCCGTGGCCAGACCTGTGCGCCCACCTTCACGTCATACATGACGTTTCCGCGCTTGCCTTTGACCGTCCCTGGCGTCCATTTCGCATGGCCTTCCCGGTAGTCACGTACTAGCACCTTCTGTCCAAGCGTGAATGATCGCTTCTTTGCTCCATGCCGCCGGTTAAACTCCTGTTCCATTCTGCGGTTTCTTTCACCAACAGAGGAGCCCGGTCGGATGGCGTCGAAAGGCATGCGGAGCTTCCGGTTCATCATAACCTGTGCTGGAGAGACTCCGTCTGGTGCTTGTGGATTCGGTGTTGATCGGTAGAGGAAAAGGAACCGGTCAACCACCTCCTCTATACGTCCCTCCCCGTTTGATTTGTGCAGAGCTCGCTTGAATGTGTCGACAAATCTTTCTGCCTGGCCATTCGACTGTGGGTGAAACGACGGCGAGCGAACGTGCTGGACGGCGCATTGCATGCAAAACTCCTTAAACGCTGCTGAAGTAAACTGTGAGCCATTGTCAGTGACCATTGTGTCAGGACAGCCGAATCTGCTAAAGGCTTGGCGCAGTTTCGATATAGTGGCATTGGTGGTGGTGTTATCCATGAGAAATACTTCTGGCCACTTGCTGTATGAGTCGACTATAATGAGGAAACTTCTCCCGTTGATCGGCCCTGCAAAGTCGACATGAATGCGGCACCACGGCTTAGTAACTATTGGCCATGAACAGAGTTCTGCTTTCGGTGGCGCTTTCAAAACATCGGCACACTTTTGGCAGCGTCTGGCTATTTCTTCTAACTGTTTGTCCATTAAGAGCCAGTATACATAACTGCGGGCAAGCGCCTTCATCCGGTTGATTCCAGGATGCCCGGAGTGGAACTGTCGAATAAGGCGCTCCTGAAGTGTCTTGGGGATGACCACTCTTTCCGAAAATAGTATGCAATCGTTTACAATGGAGAGTGAGTGTCTCCTCTGAAAATACTGTTGCAACTCGGCGGATGGACATGAACGTGGCCAACTTGTTTTGTGAAACTGCGTAACCTTCTTGAGTATTGGGTCCCGAAGTGTTTCGGTCCGCACAGCTTCTGCAGTAACTGGTAGACGGTGCAGTGCATCAGTTACCAGAAAGTTGACGTCTGGTTCAATCTCCACCGAGGCAATGATTGTGTCTTCATGTTGTTGCTGACGGATATCAATTAGGCGTGATAGTGCATTTGCTTGGCCAATGGAAACTGTCGACTGATATTGGATCTCGAAATCATACCCCATTAAGGTAAGGGCCCAACGTTGTAGCCTGTTGGCTGTGTAGGCCGGGATGCCCTTTTTCGAACCAAAGATAGCAAGCAAGGGCTTGTGATCTGTCAGAAGCTTGAAGCGGCGGCCGTATAGCATTTTGTTTTTGAGATCCATCGGTGTATGTGTGTGCAATTACTGCACCAATCCCATGGCTTGATGCATCTGTGGTTAGGACGATCTCTTTGGAGGGATCGAAATGTGTCAAAAGCAAGTTTGAAGACAACAGTGACTTGACTCGTTCGAAGGCATTCTGACAATCTGCTGTCCAGTTCCAAGGTTGTCCTTTGGATAGGAGCTTGTTTAACGGGGCACGCGAGCGGTGCATCTCAGGCAAAAATGCGCTATAGTGGCTGATGAGCCCCCAAAAGGAACGCAGAGACTGTAGATCTGTGGGTGGAGGCATTTTTCCAATGGCTTCGATGTTTTCCGGATCTGGTCGACGTCCATCCCTTTCGAGGATAAACCCGAGGTATTTGATGAGCGGTGTGAAAAATGTGCATTTTTCCTCACGGATCCGGAAGCCGTACGACTGTATGCAACCATGCACTTCATCCAAGCGGCTGAAGAGCTCTTCCGGTGTTCGACCCATCACTATGATATCGTCCAGATATGCAGCGGTTCCAGCAACACCCGCTAGCATGGTGTCCATCAACTGTTGAAAGATGGCTGGCGCCGTTTTCACACCAAATGGCAAGCGGTTGTATTGGAATAACCCACGATGAGTGTTGATCGTCAACAACTCCCTCGAGTCTTCGTCAACATCCACTTGCAGATAAGCATCGGATAGATCAAGCTTTGCAAAGTACTCACCACCATTCAGCTTTGCAAAGATATCCTCCGGTACAGGTAAGGGATACTGATGGTCGTCAAGCGCGGCGTTGAGGCCAGTTGATGAGGTAGGGGGTAGGCACCTTGCCAACATGCACATCAAGCGCAGCCACACCGGGGATATCAAGCAACAGCCAATCACTTGAAACGACAAGATGAAATAAAATATATCGGATAATGCATAGAGATACGGAGACATAACTCTTAACTAAATGGGAGTATAAAAATTAATTACTAACGAATCCGCTATAACTTCACGAGGTCAGGAAATATATTTTAAGGAAATGCCACAAACGCGAATATGTTATCGAAATTAAATACAATCAGCTTCAGCAACGTGTGCAAGTTTAAAGAAGATAGTGCAGGTAGACAAGAATATGAGAAAGAAACGCATTAGGACAAAAGTGAAAACCCACCACGTGAAATAAAGAGACTTAGCACGCAAGCACGCGGTTAGTAAATCAAATGCAGCGTACCTACAAACGCTGCACCGGTTCTGCCTACCTTCTCTGCAGGACCCATCGTCGCTTCGGTAGTGGTCCTGAGTTGTCTCGCCCATGGCTCACCAGGCCTGCCTGACTCAGGCACTCGAGACCGCATGTGCTACACCACCATGCGCTTGATGTCGATGGAGTACAACCCATCGGTGCTTGCCGCTTCTTCTCTGCATGCATGAGGTCTTTCTCCCGCACTTAGGCTATCGCATTCGTGATCAGATAGCGCCATGAACGCTGATCAACCGCCTTCGATTCCCATGACCTGCAATCAAGACTAGAACGTGAGAGGCTCACTTTAATCATATTCTGGTAACATAACTTTGGTTTCCCCACGTGCCGCTTCCCAATACTCAGCTGACCATATCTACGTCGAATCCATACGGCCCACATGACCGAGCCACCTCAGGTGTCTCAGCAAAAGTATGCATTCTACTGCATACATTCCACTTCAACGCAACATTTTCGTGTCCGCAACTCTGTCGCCCCATCCGATGAGCAGAATCCGTCCAAAACAATGTTGATGGAACCTCTCGGGATATCGCACACAGCGCCGGTACATCGTCCACGTTTCAATGCGGTATAGAA